TAGACGGTTCAGTTTAAGCTGACTCGGGCACTGTCGGCTGTAGCTACAATCGTGTAGCTACAAACAGGGACGTGCTGCCTCCCCGACCCCGACCCTGCCCCTCGCCCGCCTCACGCCGGCGTGAGCGCGCGCTGCGCTAAACGTGAAAACGACCAATTCTTAACTGGATATAGCATTGGTATCTTTCGTTTTCGCTTTAGTTCTCAGCGCTGTTTACTTCTGGTTGATATTCTAGCATTGGCGGAAGTAATGAATTCGTCTATAGACGGTTCAGTTTAAGCTGACTCGGGCACTGTCGGCTGTAGCTACAATCGTGTAGCTACAAACAGGGGCGTATCCGATCCAACAATTATCCTTTGGGGCTCCCGCCCCCTGCATCGTTGTGTGGGGCAGGGAAGTGCTGCGGCCGAGAGCGCCCGGAGGGTAGGCACTGCTGTAGTGATGGCAGTCTACTACTACATCCACAGTTACTGCAGCGTAAAAGCAGGTTTCAAAATAATGTAAAATGTTGGATAGTAATTGAATTCTTTATTGTTTCAAATCATTTACATTATAAGAGTACATCTTCCTTAACTATCTGGCTTGTTTCTGCTGGTGACTTTGGGCGAATCTAAATACATGAATAAGAATAAAAAAAGTTAAATTCTAAGTATCTCAGAGTTCAACTCAAACGTGTTCTGGTCCACATGTATCACTGTGACGCCAACTCATCGAATGAACTTTCTATGTTACAGGTGGTCAGCATCAAGTCCAGGCATATCCCTTTGAACAAGAACCAGCATCACTTCCTATTTTACTAGACTGTTGTACCATAAAAACGAAATAAAAAGGGTATTCCCCATAGAAAAAAAAATCATTTTTGGCAAAATTTACAAAGCGAAAATTGATGGGTCCGGATTTCGACGGAGGAGTGTTCGAATCGGCAGGGGTGAACCAGAGGTCCACAAAACTACCTTTGGTTTCGAGAAACCACCCCTGTCCACAAAAACTTGGGTTTTAAGAGGTGGTCTATTGAATCTGACGCGCAGCGTACGATGGGCTGCCTACCTCGCAGGCGAACCGGCTTAAGAAAAACAGGCGTAAACTCACTTGAAAAATGGCCCAGCGGCGTGAAATTTTGACGGAGAGATTGAAATCGGATGCTGTCGAGCCAATCCCAACAATTTCCAGCTATTTTTAATTTTTCCATGTTTGGCAAAATTTTACACTTTGTGCTTTTAGCGAAAACTGATGGGTCCCGGATTTCGACGCAGTAGGATCTGAATATAGACAGGGGTGAACGAGGGGACTATAAAACTATCTGTGGGTGCATCAGAAAACACCCCTATAAACTTGAGTCTGAAGAGATGGTCTCTCTAAACTATATGCGCATTGCCTACCCTAAGGCGCAATATCTAAAAACTCTGCTGTACTGGGTCGGCACCATGTTATTTAGACAAGCCGCTGACGGTTGACGATGGTATGAGTTAGGTTGAAGATTTTGCAATTGCACAGACATGAAGTTTGAATTAAGGGAATTTACTCATAGACAGTTTAACAGGAGTTCAAATACTGGTTTGGTTAAAACGAGCATAACAACATTAAACTAAGGCTACCTAACAATTTCATCGATTACAAATTTCATTTGGTCCTCTGAGGCGGCGCATAAGACAGCAATCTTGGACCATTAGGGTAACACGTTTAGCATGAAGTGAACACAACAGTGAGTCTTCAAAGAATTGGACTATGTACATTTCAACAGCTTCTTGTAGTGCTGATAGGGCTAAGCTTTGAATTCTACAAAAAGAAACATGCATTCTCAAACATGGCAAACAAACAGTTATCAAGCGAGTAAGAAGGAGAGTTTAAAACTACAGACCTGAACTGATTGTGAGACATCTCATTAATTATTTCTTTTACCAAACGGCAGAAACTCGCTTTTGGTATCAAGAGATTTGTAGTTCGTTGGAGGAATTTAATTTCTTTTAATGCTCTACTTCCGTTTTTAAAGTGGTAGCTTCTTCGAGACATCCCACCTGATGAGCTTTTTTTTACAGACTCTTCTTTTTGTTGTTGAGCCTTCACACTAGAAGTGACAGCAAATGGAAAATTAATTAACTCAAAAGTCAGAAGGCAAATCTGAAAGTGAGAGAGTGCCATAGCCCAAAACTGGAATGATAACTTACCGGTGCTTCTGTTTTTTATTAGACATTCTTGCAACTGATGGTTGAGCAGACGGAGTTTGGTAAATGAATGGTCTCGACACCTTTTCAGAATTGTCTGGATCTCGTACAGGAAGTTGCAAATCGATTCAAACCGTAGCTTAGAGCTAGAGGTGGTGCTCGCAACGTGTATGATTGCAGGTTCGAATACCGACTGAGGATCTTTTTTCCGGTTCCGCTTTGTAATTTTGCATCCAAGTACGGGTAGCCTCGCTTCGGACCTCTCCAAAAAATCGAATATGTCTGTTCATAACGTATGAAAAATTGTCGGACTCTGTCCAGAGTCTGTCCATCATCATATATATGCTTGTGTTTGTTATTATTGTTTCCTTTTTGAGTACCGGCTTATATCAACAACAAAATCATGGCCGAAGGTAAGTATATCAAGGAAATGAACTAAGATTTATTCGATTTACTTAAGTGTATAACTCTGGGCGATGGTGCTATTTCTGATTTTGTTAACAAGACACAGCGGGTTGCCAGGTTATGTCATTCATAATATGTCAACATTTTTGGCTTTGGATCGGTTTATTCTCTCTTTCTGTCAGTTTTACATCCTTACATGCCTAATTTCGATGTATTTTTTCTTACAGAAGTGGAGACAAGTCTTATGGTGATTGTTGTTGATCTACATACCCGTCAAAGATATTTGCGCCAGCAACCATCCCAATTGGTGCATGTGCTTGATTCTATCATGACATTAGCCAATATGCATCTGATGTTGAAAACTAAAAACAAAGTGGCTATTGTGGCATGCAACGCTGCTCGAAGGTAAATATGGAACCAATCTAATGATCCAATTGGTATGGTCTCTCCGGTGTTTCTGAGGAAGAAAAAAAAAAAAAGGCTAATTCTGAGTTTTCTTGACCTCCAGTGACTTTATTTACTGTGATTCTGATGCCATTCAGCCTCAGCCAATTCAAGGGCAATCAGGGAACACTGTCCAGAAGCAGTCTGATGGCCAATACGAAGTATTTGCTCATCTAGAGACAATGGTTAAACAAAATACAAGAAAATTTACTCTGGATGAAAAGTCTACCTTTTTTGATGATAGGGATGGTGAATCTCTTATTGCAGGAGCATTAACCTTGGCTATGTGTTATATAAACAGGTATTTATCATTTATATTAGAAGCATTGTTAATCTGTTAAATTTTTCTCTATAACAATTTGCCTTGCTCCTCAGAATTAACAGAGAAAAGCCAACTGGAGAGAAACTTAACTCAAGACTACTAATTGTAACAGGATGTGCTGGAGGTGCTTCTCAACACATGGCTTACATGAATGTATTCTTCACAGCTCAAAAACAAGTGGGTGCCTTTTTGTTTTATGTTTTTAATGTCTATGTCTAGTTGTGCTGTAGCTAATATATTTTTCTCTTTTCTTCAAAAAATTTAGAACATTGTTTTAGATGTGTGCAGTTTAGATTATGAGCTTGGACTCCTACAACAGGGCTGTGATATTACAGGAGGGCTATTTCTGAAAATACCACAACTCCAAGGTTTGCTGCAGTATCTACTGGTATGTGCTTTTGTTTATGGCTCATCTTTTTATTGAATAAGAGGACTAGAGATAGCAATTAGTCTGCTTTACAGTGGGTTTTCTTACCTGAGCCACCTATTCGTAAGAAGTTGGTTCTCCCACCACCTGCAAGAGTTGACTACCGTGCTGCCTGCTTTTGTCATAGAAATCTTATTGATATAGGTTTTGTGTGCTCAATATGTCTTTCAAGTAAGTACATCATTCTATATAATTTTCTCATTGACTTCTGTTCTCAAAAATACTCACTACCACACTAGCCATGGAAAAATATTAAAATCAAATGTATGTCTTTCCTGTGTAGTCTTCTGCAAATTTAGTCCCATTTGTACAACCTGCAAGTAAGTACCATCTCCAAGAGGAGCAAAAATGTCTCTAATCAACTAAAATATTTAGTAAGATTTTCTTGCATTCTGATTCCAGTACGGTATTTAAACCACCTACATCTCTAGTCCCAAAAAAGAAGAAGAAGCCCAACAAGGGTGTTTGTTAATGGAAGAATGTTACGGTAAGAACATAGGTAATTTTGTAAAATAACAATAAAAAAAAAATCTACCAGCAAAGTAACACATTATATGACTCATCATAGTCTTAGAGCAAACGTAGAATGAAATGGCAGAAAATCAGAACAATTCCAATAGGACTCCGAGAGGACCACCTCTAGCTAGAACAGAAGAATCAGGTTGAGTAAACTTCTTCTCTGTTTTA